AGCAACTAAGCATGCTATCACTCTATGTGTTTCAAATGTCCCTCTGCCTTTTGCTTATAAATGCAATTGCCATTGGATTTAGGGCCCATCTGGACAATCCAGTAAGACCTTTTCTAAAGCCTTTTAATTTCATTGCATATGCAGAGACTCTTTCGTCCAAAGCAGGTAATAGTCATAGGTTTCATATAACTGCACCAGGACACATATTTTAGGAGCCACAATTCAACCTACTATGTAATAGGGAAGAATCCTTGTATTCTGTTACAAGTTAATCACTAAAAAGATGTTGCCTATAAACTTAAATTATACATAGGGGCCCCTCTCTGGAAACCCTGACTCTCAGGTGATGAGCACTAAGCTAAAATAACTTTGCTTAGCTCACAGGAAACATCCTTACCAGGCCCACTTTTGAATGACTGCAGGAAGGAAAAAAACACATCCCTTTCTGAGGCTGACTGGAGCCAGGAAATGTTTGACCTTACTCTCTCCTCATTTAGTATAAAAGAGGCCTGAATTCTAACTCAGACAAGTTGGCTCTTTGGAACTTGAGTCCACCATATTCTTGGTCTGCCAGCTTTCTGAATAAAGTTGCTATTACCTTCCCTACCAATTCACTTTTTTGATTTATTGGCCTGTTGCAGGGTGAGTAGTATGTGCTTGGACACAATAATGACTACACAGTCTCTTCTCACTGTTATATGTTTATGGGTTGATTTATGTCTTTCTCCACATTTCTCCCAAACTCATGTGTTGAAGTCCTAACCCTCAGTACCTCAGAATGTGACTTTACTTGCAAATTTGTTGTTGTTCAGTCCTGTAAGACTCTTTTCAACCCTGTGGTCTGTAGCACGCTAGGCTTCCCTCTCCTTCACTATCTCCCAGAGCTTGCTCAAACTCATGTCCATCAGTGATGCCATCCAACCATCTCATCCTCTGGTGTCCCCTTCTCCTCCTGCCTTCAATCTTTCCCCACATCAGGGTCTTTTATAACGAGTCAGATCTTCACATCAGGTGGCCCAAGTATTGGTGTTTAAGCTTCAGCATCAGTCCTTGTAATGAATATTCAGGATTGATTTTCTTTAGGATAGATTGATTTGATCTCCTTGCAGTCCAAGGAACTCTCAAGAGTTTTCTCCAGCACCACAGCTGAAAAGAATCACTTCTTTGCATTCAGCCTTCTTTATGATCCAACTCTCTCACATCCATACATGACTACTGGAAAAACCATAGATTTGACTAGATGGACCTCTGTCAGCAAAGTGATGTCTCCACTTTTTAATATGCTGTCTAGGCTGGTCATAGCTTTTCTTCCAAGGAGCAAGTGTCTTAATTTTGTGGCTGCAGTCAACATCTGCAGTGATTTTGGAGCTGAAGAAAATAAAGTCTATCACTGTTTCCATTGTTTCCCCATCTATTTGCCATGAAGTCATGGGACCAGAAGCCATGATCTTTGTTTTTTGAATGTTGAGTTTTAAGCCAATGTTTTCACTCTCCTTTCACCTTCATCAAGTGGCTCTTTAGTTCCTCTTCATTTTTGCCATAAAGGTGGTGTCATCTGCACAGCTGAGGTTATTGTCATTTCTCCTGGCAATCTCGATTCCAGCTTGTGCATCATCCAGCCAGGCATTTCCCCCTGATGGGAATAGTGTTGTTGCAAATGTAATAAATTCAGATGAGACCATTAGGATGAGCCCTAGTCCAATATGACTGGTGTCTTTATAGAAAAAGAAAATTTGGACACAGACATATACATGCACATAGAGAATACAATGAGGAGATGGAGGTCATGACTAGGGTTATACTTCTGGAAGTCAAGAAAAGCCAGAAAAATTGTCAGCAAAAAACTGGAAGCTAGGTAGGTGGCACGAAACTGATTCTCCCCCCCAGTTTTCAGAAAAAGAATCCTGTCAATACTTTGACCTTGAACTTCCAGAGTCCAGAACTGTGAGATAATGTCTGTTTAATTCACCCCTCCGTGTCCTTTGTTAAGGCAGTCCCAGCAAATTAATACATTATCCATTAAAAAAATCAGTTTAAATAGTGAAGATAAAATTATGGCCCATCCTAAAGGAAATCAGTCCTGGGTGTTCATTGGAAGGACTGATGCTGAAGCTGAAACTCCAATACTTTGGCCACCTCACGCAAAGAGTTGACTCATTGGAAAAGACCCTGATGCTGGGAGGGATTGGGGGCAGGAGGAGAAGGGGACGACAGAGGATGAGATGGTTGGATGGCATCACCAACTCGATCGACATGGGTTTGGGTAGACTCTGGGAGCTGGTGATGGACAGGGAGGCCTGGTGTGCTGCAATTCATGGGGTCACAAAGAGTCGGACATGACTGAGTGACTGAATTGAACTGAACTTATACTAATGTCAAATATGGATGTGAGAGTTGGGCCATAAAGAAAGTTAAGTACCAAAGAATTGATGCTTTTAACTGTGGTGTTGGAGAAGGCTCTTAAGAGTCCCTTGGACAGCAAGGAGATCAAATCAGTCAATCCTAAAGAAAATCAACCCTGAATATTCATTGGAAGATTGGAAAGACTGAAGGCAGAAGGAGAAGAGGTGACAGAGGATAAGATGGTTGGATGGCATCACCAGTTCAATGGACATCAAGTTGGGCAAATTCCAGATGATGAGGGACATGGAGGCCTGGAGTGCTGCAGTTCATGGGGTCACAAAAAGTTGGATGCAACTTGGTAACTGAACAATAACAAGTAATGTTGCATTTTATCAACACTCCATTGAAAGTATGTTATTTTACTTCTACTTTATAAATAATGCTATAATAAACATGTAACTTTGTCCATATCGCAGTTTCCTTTTTGTGATTATTTTCTTTGGTTATGTTCTAAAGAATGAGAATTCTATTTCAAAAGATTCAGAACAATAAAAAAGTTTGAAGGACTCAACATTTTAAGCCTTGGAAACTTCTTGCAAATTGTTTTTCAGAGTTGTAACAGTTTACGTTTATCTCCTATGTGATGAGTGATTTCAACACCTCTCACCACCATTTGACAGTATCACTTCAAGTGCTGTCATACCAGCTGTTTCGGCAACACTTTTAGATTTATTTTTCCAGTGGCGGGGTGGGGTGGGGGGTGGAGGCGGGGCTGGGGGGGGTGGAGGCGGGGGTGGGGGGTAACAAAGTATATTTATGTGGTCCTAACTTTTTCTGTCTCCTTGCTTTCAGGCAATCACCAGAGAAAACTAGTCACAGTGTCTTTAGACTACATTTTGCTTAATACATTTAATTGTAGAGAGTCCAATAGAAGAGAATTTAAAATGAGTGTGATCTTTTTTAGAATGCAAAAAGTGGTTCATATTAACTCCAACTTGCATGAATTAAATTTTATTTATTTGTATGCTGATTGTTGTAATGAGGAAAATGAAGACAACTTATAGGACAATATTCCTTTTTTGGCTTTTCTTCTTATATCCCATATTGTCCAAGAAATGAGCCTGGGCGTTGACTGCTGTTTTTGAGTACGTCCTGGCTCAGAACTGTGACAGCCCACTCATGTGCGTGTCTGTCCCCTTACAAGTCTTCCCTGATGAAGGCGCCAGTTTTTCCTTTCAAAACGTAACAGAGACCAAACCGAATCTCCCGCCGCCCCCTCCCCGAGCTACTAGGCTTACGAACAAAACCTCTCTTCATTCTCTTCTCTTAACCTTAAGAAGTGCTGCTGAGCAAAGCTGACCGGCAGCGTTTTTGCAGCCCCATCTCTGATCCTCTCGACTCTGCTATCCACCTACCTAACTCCCACCCGACGCAGATAGAGCCTGATTTGTGCCCTCCGCACTCGGAGCAAGAGTGAACCTTGCCTCCGCCCAGCGCGAGGGGATCCGTGAATCCAGCCCCTCCTGGATTTTTAAAAGGACACTGCGCTGGTCGGTCATTGCCAGGCGCCTCCGCAGAGTTTGGAGCCGATAAGAGAGCATCCCTCCCACTGGGCGTGCAGTACGGACAAGCTGAGTACACTTGGATTTTTGGCTGCCTTTTCTGCTAGGGTGGGTGGGGGAAAGGTGCGTCCTCCAAGCGTTAACAATAGAATCTCTGACCCTCTGTCTCCTTCTGTCTCCGTCTCTCCCTTCCTGGTCTGTTTCTCCACCTCCCCCTTTCTCCCCCCTCCCCCCCCCCCCACCCTTTCTCTCAAGATGTGGGAGCTCCCCTTCTTTTCCAGACCGGAGAGGGGCGCCTTTCCTACTCCCTCTCCCCCATCACCCACCGATTTTTAAAAAAAAAAAAAATGAGGGAAAAAAAATCCTACCCGGGAGTGATAGCGAGTGGATCTGCTCGGCGCTGAATGAATGAATGGAAGCTGCCGGGCGGGCCTGCGCGCACGGCCTCCCTGCCCACGATGAGGTCGCCCGGCGGCCTGTAGGGCCCTCGCCAGCCCCTCGCCCTCCTCCCGCCCAGGGTAGAAGCAGCCGCCGGCTTCGCGCCCGACGCCCAGGCCGCGGTGGCCGCGGGGAAGGTCGGAGGGAGGGTTGTTTCCTCCCGCCCCACACCCAGTCTCCGAGCCGGATATATAGAGTGTCACGTTTGGGAGCCAAAAGACGAGAGCAGCTTCCTTGAGACTGGAGCACTTCCCGAAGCCCCGGGGAAGGACTGGGATTTCGAGGTCCACTAGTTGAGCCCGCCCCGCGCCGGAGAAGCAGGTACTCGGGGTCGCAGCCCGGTCGCGCGAGCGCCCACGCCTCTGCCGGCGAGAGCCGGCCGGGGTGGCCCGCAGGCAGGACGCGGCGGGGTCGAAAGCGAGGGCGGGGCGCCTTCGAGGCCCAGAGGAAGGGTGGGCGCAGGGCCAGGCGGGAGATGGGGGATTTCCGCGGCTCTGCCCAGGAGCTGCCCTGGCAGTCCGCAGTCAACCGCCAGCGGGTTAGGCGCGCCGGGCGCCGGCATCACTAGCCGAGGTGGGGCGCTCGGGGGCGGGAAGGGCGCGCGACGGGAAGGGCACGGTTGGGTTAACGCTGGAGGCGCGCCGTGGCCGCAGGCCCATGGGGCAGAGGCACCTACCAGGTCTCGCGAAGGCCTCCTCGGCAACCCCCCCCCCCCCCCGGGCTGTTCCTGGAGAGAGCAGGCCACGTGGGGGGCGGCGGCTGCCCTCTCTGCTCGCTAGACAGTCGGGGCGCGCTTCCCGACTCCGGGCCCTACTTGGGCTGTGCCCGGAAGAATCCCCCTACTCGGGTGTCGCCGCTTACCGACCCCTAGACTGCAATGGGCCTGGGCGGCGTCTCACCCCATCAGCTGTGTTCCACCTCTTCTTGCTGGGCCTGGTCATCTTGGAGAGAGCAGGTAAGCGGGTACCAGATTACCACAGGTGCGGATGGGCTTGAGGGAAGGCTGCTGTCACCCTTGGCGAGTACGATAACACGCGGGGAAATTCCGTTCAATTGACAGACTAAATGACCACCTTCCTCCTAGAAACCCTAGAAAAGCATCCCACCTGCCAGCCTCCTACTCTTTCACCTCTCGGGATGGGTAGAATTATGAACACTTATTCTTCCTTGGATGGACTTACTAGGTGTGAGCAACCAAGGTTCTTTCTGGATCTGCCGGAGCTTTGGCGGCCGGTTGAATTATGTATTGCCCCATTGTGACATGAACAGGGATGAGAGTGGGGACTGCAGAGTGACCTAAATCTCAAGTGAATCGTGTCTTCCTACTTGTTAAAGGCTGCATCAAGAAATGTTTGACACGCTGTGCAAATGGAAATGTGAGAATTATCTTGAGGTTTCAATTACCCATCTCTCTGTATCTGTATTCATATGACTTGGAGATTTGGCTGAGAAGCATATTTAATGGAAAAGGGCAAAGAGACTAAATATAGTTTTAAGTCAGCCACTCAAACGGAAGCAGGTCTTAAAGCAAAATCCATTTTAAGGGCTATTTGTATGTGAATCTTCTAGGAGCTGGGATCGGTTTTTACCATCTAGACTCAAGACTCACAGCCTTTCTTCTGTTGTATTTCTCAGGGTACAGGTCTTTAGAGTACTCTTTTCCCTTTTCTGAGAGCATCTTCTACACCTGTTCTGTTAACAAATTCCCACCTTACTCCTATTTCTGAGTTACAGTTATCTATAAAATTAGTATAAATCAGCATGAGTTGGTAAATCTTACAGTGAGACATTTCTCCTTAAAAGAGTGAGTGTAACATCTAATTGCAGAAGAGGGAGACGCTTCTGTTAAGGTGGTGAAAATAAATAAAATACTTCATATTAGGGTCATGTTTGGGTATCACTTTGGGGTTTGTGAAGAAAGTCATCTTGAGCATCTCAACGTCACCTTGAATGTCTCACCGTTTGCTTTACTATCATCTGAAAATGCAATCAGATGTTACTTCTTTCTGGCAACATCTGGGCAGCCCTAAGAACTCTTTGTCTTTGTGTTAATACTTGAGTGCTTATGAAAACGTACGCATGAACAAACACAACCTCTGAAGGAACATTAGTGTACATTGGCACCAGCATGCCTCCTCTGCCAGTCTCTTGTGACACTGTGTTTGGTCTCTTTGACAACATTCATTACTCTTGAAGAGGAATTCTTAATGCTTTATTTTCTTTTGTTATCAGAGCACTTCAGGATCTGATAAAACCTACAAAATATGAAAAATAAACTTATGTGTATTAGCACAGAATTTTATCTACAATTTCAAGAGCTCACAGCCTCTTGGATACCCAGTCACCCAGATGATAGAGGTCCAGAGACCTCAGGCTAGGCCAGCTCACAGGTCCGGTACCTAGAAGGGCCCCGTACTTGGTTTAATGTTCTGCTGTCACTGTCAGCTGTCTTAGTAATTTTTAAACAGGAGCTCCAAATTTTCGCCCTTCACTAGACCCTTCAAATTCTGTAGCCAGTGCTGAGCACAGGTTGACAAGCCTATTCTGTTACTTCCTGAATAACAGCACTGTCTCAGCAATCCTACGTGGTGGGTGATTCTCTGATACAATCTGAAATATAGCTGCCTCATGCTTCTGTCCCTAAGTCCTTCTACACCCAGTTTTCTCATTGATAAAATAAACATAACAGACAACATCTACTACTGTAATCATCCTAACAGGTTGTTGTGAAAACATACAGGTAAAAAGAGCTAATAATTGTTGAACTGTCTACTTACCTTGAACAGTTGTATACTAATAAAGATGGTATTATTACAGACTTACTTTTCTACTCCATGTTTCAGAAGTAGCTTGAGGAAATCTGGTTAAGTACATCAAAAGGGTTGCAGAACTATTATAAACATTATGTTTTGGTGGAAGAAGAAAATAAAACAAAGTAGCTATGATTTTTAGTATTTTAAGTATTCCTTAAAAAATCATTATTTGAGCAAGATTGAAATGGGCAACTAAAAGTACAAAATACCTTTCTGGATCCAAAAGATACTTTTAGGATTAAATTGATATTTGGGGAAAGTTCATCCAAAATTGAACAATGAAAAACTGAGTCAATGATTGAAATTTTTTGAGAAGGTAATCCTTTCTGCCTCATTTAACTTTTAGATACTCATATTTTCAAAACCTTGAGCAAAGCACTCTTTTTAAATGTTCTGGGAGATACTAGGCAATGTAAAGTACACCTAGGCCCTTAACCGGTTGTTTTCACTTCCTGTACCACTGCAGGAGGAACTGAGAAACCCCAGACAAGTCCTCTGTCCCCACATTCCTTTAGTTACTTTCCTCTGACCTCAGAACTTATCCTTACCACAGCTTTCATTCCCAGCATGATGGCAACACACTGATTGAGGAAGAAATAGCCTGAAAGGAAATGGGTCCTTTCTGAAAGAAAGGAAATGGCAACACACAGGGTTGAGAAAGAAAATAAACTGAAAGGAAATGGGTCATATTTCCATATTAAAGTCTTAAAGTTGAGGCGTTAAAAGCAGGTGGATGGAGACTCTCATTCACCTGCTCTGTGCAGAGGCAGGCATGCTGTGAACTGTAGAGTATTAAGTAACAAGTCCTGTACTCCGTAGATTTATGACATCATTGGCAAGACCGCATATGTAAATATAAGTTGTTAATTAACACACCTGATAAGTTGTTACAAGCCAATATGAGATTAGGCACCAAATGAATGGTACAGAAAATAAATACAATAAGTTCCTAAGAAGAGAGTAAAGTAAACCAAACTGGTTGGTGAAGCTTAAGAGAAGAGTTACATGAGTTGGTCCTTAAAGTTCGCCTTCTAATAGAGATGAATGAATGAGCCTTTTGGGTGATAAGTGTGCAAAACATGGAAATCTGGAAGGGTCTAAAGTTTCACATAAGAAAAAGGCAGGAGATAAAAAGAACTTTCCACTGGCTAATTTTAATCATGTAATATGTAATTTTAAGCCCATTCTGTGACCAGACACAAATGACAGTTTTCCTGCATTTAGTGTGGAATAAAACAAGATGTGTAAGATCTTTTAGATCTTACAGACAGTAAAAAATAAATATATAATAGCACATTGTTAGAAGGAGTATGGAGAAGAACAAGGGGCTGTGAAAAAAAAAACGGGCTGATTCAGATTTGGTGCTCTGTGAAGGCAAAGAATCGGACACGACTGAGTGACTGAACTGAACTGAACTGAACTGAAGGTCTCTGAAAAGGAAAGATTTAAATTAATATTTGAAGGAGGCACAGGGATTCACGTGGCAAAAAAAAAAAAGAAAAAAGGAGGTAAATGCAATTTAGGTAGAGGAAATAGCAAGTAGGAAATCTGTAAAGAGAAGAAAAGCTTGGAAGTGTTCAAGGGATAAAAGGAAGGCATGTGTGTTGGATAAGGGAGTTTCTGAGAGGCTGGACATGAATGTGTGAGAGTGTGTGTGTGTGTATGTGTGTGTGTGTGTTTTGTGGGGGTGGGTAGGCAGGAGCCTGGTCATGCAGATCCTCACAGATTTTGATAAAGATGGTGAATTTTATTTTAATGAGAAGATTTTGAAGCCAGAGGGTAATTTACATTTTAAGGATACCTTTGTGGCTGCAATAAAGAGAATGGACTAGCAGGATCAAGAATGAAAAGTAGAATACAGTTAGGACACAGCCAGCGACTGTGCTGGCCGGGGAAATGGAGAGAAGTGGGCACACCTGAAGTGCATTTCGCAAGTCGAATTGATAGACCTTGGGGAAAGACTGGTGATGAGAGATGGCAGAGGAAAGAAGTGTAAGAAGAAATTCCTTCAGTAGATACTGCTGAGTTTTTATAACTCAAAACTATTGTCCCTGAAGCATAGAATTTAGAGTTTTCACAGAAGAACTGAAAAGTGACATGGAAACTTATAACACTGCCTGGTACCTCTGAAAAATATGCCAGGCTGTTGGCAATGGGGTGAGAGAGAAGAAAATAATATGCTTTTCGTATTATCCTTTGTAATATTGAGATTATTTATGAAATGTGCACACACTTTACAATTTTCTAAGAGGTTTCCTCCACAACCAATGTGACTCCTGTTTTTCTGACTTGAACACATATATAGCATATGGGATAATCTAAAATGACAAAAACTCAGACAGAAAGGCCTGATCCTTATGCAAGTGATTGCTCTATAGCATAACTTACTCCCTTGTTTAGAAGCTTTCCATTCTTCCACCTTTTCTATATCAATGTTTCCCAGAAATATAGTCTATGGATCATTAGTTTCTTGGGATGTTAATAATAGTCAAGTAAAGAAAAAGAAAAGCTTCCTGATCTTGTAAGTGTAAGGAACAATTTAACCTAATTAAGCAGTTTTATTGCAAGAGTCCTCGGAGCCTTTAATACACTATTAATGCTCTTTAAGAATCATCAAGACAGAAGAGATATTTTATGCCACATTTCCTAAACTTATTTGACCTTGAAATGCTTTTTTTGGCAGAACATCTGACAGAGTCAGCATTAGCCTAACACGCTTTGGGAAATGCTGCCCTATATTAATAGATTAAACCTCTTAACATCCATAGCTTTCTATTAACCATTGACTTCTCTTACCTCTTTCATGCAACTTAGTTGGAAGAAAGCAGAAGACCAGAATTGAATTGACTCTGTTAATAAGCTCAAAATTGATGAAGAAAACAATTCCACTGTATGAATCAGTGATAAAATGATATTCACCAGCAAGATCTGCAGTGTGACTAAAAACAGTTTTTAAAAATTTAACTTCTACTTTCCTGGCAAGGCTATGCAGGACCTCTCGTGGGTACATTCTGTCAAGTTTAGATGTATCCATGAGGAAGCTGATGCATTGGCAATGGGGAAGGGCCTCTCCTGTCCCATGGTAGGTCTGAGCCTTAGTTGATGTTTGTAGTATAGCCCCTACAGGATACACAGTGTGAACACGTAATATGTCTGCAGGAACAGTG